CTAGGCCTCCATGTCCTCTCGATCACCGCTCGCGCTGCCCCTCCAAGGCGACCGCCGCTGAGGCACGCAACCCTGGCCCTCCCTCCTCAGGATGGAGGGGGGGATGGAGGATCGGGGCCAACGTGTTTCTTACCCTTGCGCGGACCTCCCGAGACCTCCAGGGGCCACCAAGCCATCTAGTAGTGAACTTCGCGCCTCGCGCCTCGCGATGCGCGGCCATCTTCGCGGCATGTGGTGGACGACCCAGGAGCGGTGGCGGGCCAGGGCGAATGCTGCCAGATGCGCTGAGGGGAGCCCACGCACTGCCAAGGCACTGGCCTCAGGAACTGATGAGCAGGAGGAGGCAACTACTCTTCCCCACTGCCACACAGGACAGCTCTCTCATTCAAGTTGACCGCAGTGAAGGTCTGATATGCTTCAGGCAGAATGACCAGCACGGAGGCGATTTGTGCATTGATGGGGAGGAAGCATGCCTTCGTCTGCTGACGTGATGACACAGATGTCGAACATCCGACGCCCCCGATGCCTCGGGAGCAAAGGCGGCACAACCTCCGGAGATGCCTCTTCACCCCTGGCTCACTGTAGAACTGCCGCATGCACCCGTGAACCTCCTCATCGCTCTCCTCCTTCCTGCCCTCATTCACCTCAGGGCCACGTTTCCTCAATCCCTGGCTACCCGAGAGGAGACTCCTGGATCGCCCAGGGTGGCCCGACTCGGCCCCAAGACGGGCACAAGGTTGCCCCCAGGAGGAACATTCCGCTGGGTGACCCCCATGTTCCGCACGGTTGCCCCAAGATGGCTCCCGCAAGCTCCACAAAGCCACCCCGAAGCACCCACATACCGTTCATCGACCACAAGATCGCGCCAAAGATGGCGCCTGGGCGAGCCTGCGACGGCTCCAGAGATCGCCAAGGCAGTCCCTCCTTCCTCCCAGTGAAGGTCCGTGAGGGAAGAATGACGCGCAAGACATGCCCTCACTCACGATACGATCAGCAGGCTTCACGCGGCAGCGTAACACTGCCCCTTTCTGGTTCATATATCGGCGACTTTCGTCGGCTGCCCTTAGGGGAATGGAGGAGGATCGCGGAGGGTGGAGGTCCGAGGGATGGATGGGAAGAAACAGGGAACAGGTGGTGGTAGCATATTAAATCGTGCATGCAGGTGCTTGAGACGCTTGTCGCAGTGAGTTCAGCAACGCTAATCCTTCCACAAGCGTCGACTACAACATTCTCGCAAACAAAATGTCCCGGATGGACGGTAACCCGCAATGGATGGCTTCGCAAGACAACACATCCCTCCTGCGTCAGATCTGGACTGCATTGCACGTCCCTCTGTGGGGTCTTTCATTACACACGTCTTGGGCCACTCCTGGACATCCCGTTTGTCCATGTACAACATTTGCTGAGACGCGGCACGGGCGGCTCGATCGCACGCGTGGCTGCCTGAAGGCCGAATGATCGAATGCACCTCCTCACCCTTCCTCCCCAATTTGCAATTACCGCCCTGAGGTCTCCGTTCCGTGTTCCTGGGCCCCCTGGAGCCGTCTTGTTGGCGAAACTCGGCGGGGGTGCACGACAAGCGGGAGGGGGGCAATCCGAGCACCCTGGCGTTGCCCTGGTGCGGCCCTACTTGGCGGCGAGCCCAGGGGGGAAGTCAGAGGGGGTACGCCTTCTCAGAAAACGGAGGGGCTCTGAGAAGCAGCCTCCGTCTTCGGAGAGTGCTCAGAACATTGCTCAGAAGGCGCGAGGGCTTCTGAGAGGCCCCGCCCCACCGCCTTCTGAGAAGGCCTGCCCGCTCACCTCCCCCCTGGGCTAGCCGCTGACTTCCACTGCCGAACCCGCGTCGACAACGGTGTTGGAAAAAAAGGCGCCCTGCGTCGCCCCCCAGCCGATAACCCCCTGCCTCACCCCCCCGCGCCCACCGATCCTCCTGGCGGCCGCGGGGACGTTGCGGCAGCGTCGGGGGAGCTGTGGGCCAAGAGTGGGCCCCCCTCATCGAGCGTTTGTCGTAGTGGCGGGGCATGAAGCGCTCCGGGCCCCTTGCGCAGGGCAAGATTCATATGCATTCCACTGCGCCTCGGACTTGCACACTCCCCTTTTGTGGCAGCCCGAGACGCAGCGCATACGGCCAACACGTGGCCCCTATCGAGGCCAGACGCTCGTCCATGTCCGCTGCGCCTCGGGGCTTCGGCATCCATTATCCAAGCATACAAATCAGCGGTGGACAAACGTCTCTTCAGTAAACCTCCCTTTAGTGAAAGCGGCCTGGAACCGAAACCGACGGACCTGGACGGCCGCGACATCCTCTCGCGAAGCGCAAACGGCCAATTCCATAATCGACGTGTCAGGGTAGGAGGTCTGTCCACCCCCGACCAAAACGAACGCCGCTGATGTGGGGTGAAGATCTTGCCCGCGCTCCCCTGTAGCCATCGGCCCCCGCCCACCCACCCCTACGAAACGCGCTGGCCCTCTGGTCGGAGATCCACGAGCGCGATTCTTTATGTTCGGCGATGACGGGCGTCATCGGGGGGGGAGGCGGGGGGGGTATGACGTAACGCCCCCACCCCGCCGTGTGGCTCCGGCACCACAGCCGCGCCCGCGCGCACGACGCGACGAGCGACGAGCGACGAGCGACGACGACGACGACGACGACGACCACGCGAACAGCACGTAGGTGGTGATCTGCACCACAATGCCTGTGTACACCACTACCCTGGCGTGCACCACAGCGCGCGTGTACACCACAGCGCTTGCGTACACCGCAACGACCGTGTGCAACGCAGCGCTTGTGCACACCACAGTGCTTGCGTACACTACAGCGCCGGTGTGTACACCGCAGCAACCATTTGCAACGCACCGCCTGTCTACACCACAATGCTTGCGTGCACCGCCGCGCCTGTGTAAACCACAACGCCTGTCTACACTACAACATCCGTGTGCATCGCAGCGCTTGTGTACACCACACTGCCTGCGTGCATAGGACAAGTAGACGGAGCATGTACGTGAGGATCTGCTGCGGCCAACTAAACGCCACGCCAGGAAAGTGATGATCATCGAATGCTACGTTATTCCCCCCTCCCTCTTCCTCCACCTCCACCTCCTCTTCTTCCTCCTCCTCGGCTTCCACGTCCTCCTCTTTACCCACCTATCGTGCGGGTTGGCGCTACAGCGCACGTGCGCATTTCAGCGTGCAACGCAGAATGGTCTATCGAATGGGTCCACTTGGTTCTCGGACGGCCAATTTTGCTGGAGCCTCCTGGACACAATTGGGAAGAGTTGGGGTGATGCGGGCGGACTCGGGAGCACTCGTAGATTCCAGCGGCACTCCTTCGTCCATAAAGATTCCCTTCTATTGTTTGCTGTGGAATCCACAGGCGCTCCATTTTGTCATAAGGAGTTCTGCTACATATATATATATATACACATGTATACATACATATACATATACATATACATATACATACACATATGTGTATATATATACATATGCATATACATATACATATATAAAAATATATACAACAGTGGCGTTGTGTTGCACACGGTTGCTTTGGTGCACACAGGCGCAGTGGTGTACACAAGCACTGCAATGCACGCAGGACGCAGGCCTTGTGGTATACACGGGTACTGTGTTGCACACGGTTCATGTGGCGTATGCAGGCGCCGTGGTGTACACAAGAGCTGTTGTGCCCGCAGGTGCGGTGGCACAAACTCACGCTGTGTTGCCCGCGGCTGCTGTGGTGTACATAGGTGGTGTGGTGTACACAGGCGCTGGGTGTACACAGGCGTTGTGGCGCAGATCGCCACCTACATGCTGGTGCTACCCGTCCTCCGTCATTCCTAGGCATTCCCAGACGCCGCTGGCGCGAAACGTGACGTCATCGACCCCCTCCACCCCCCCAAATGATTGCCGTCATCGGCCCGGCGTAAGAAACAGGTTCCAGCCGCGTCCGCGCGCACGACGACGATGAGCGACGAGCGACGAGCGACGAGCGACGAGGACGACGACTACTGCGGACCAGACTCCTATGCGGATTCCGACGCGGACACCTACGCGGATCCCAATGCGCACGGCAGCAGTGCCCGCAGCGGACTGGGGGGGGAACGTTCGGGGGGGGAAGCGGGGGCCATGACGCCCGTCAAGCCCCAAACAATAAAAAAACTGACTCCACTGACCTGGGTCAATCAAGACCCGGGTCAGTCAGGCGTTGCAGGATCTTGCAGGATCCTGCAACCAAGCCGAGGTCAGCGCGTCCCTGGCCCTGCAAGATCCTGCAAGATCTGGCGCTCTGGCTGACCCCCGCTTGTATTGACCGCCGTCTCTTGAGCCCCGACCTGGGAACATCCAGCCGTCCGCCGGGAGAGGCGGTGCGCACCGCGAGAGACGCGATCCACCCTTAGGGCGACGAAACCTATGCACAACCACTGTTCCCCCT